TCCCGTGAGGCTGTAACAGTGATCCCAAAAGTGATCCCCTTCTGGGGAAATGTAATAAACTGGGTATTTTGGGAGTTCGGGCTGAGTTGCCGTGTTGAAAGTCACAAAGAAGAAGAATAACTAGGCAGTCCGGATAAGTCCTCTCAATACACAGTATCTGGTCGGCGAGTGTGCACTGCGCCTCCTGCATGTTCGCATGTGGTGGGATGTTAACACCGACCAGTATGAATGAAGAAAACTTGTGTGGGGAATAACAGGGTTTGCAGTTGATGATAAAAGTTTCCAGAGTTGGAGAACAGTGCTGCAGAATCACTGTCACATCGTTGCACCAGCCACTGTTTGTGTAAAAACATATTCCTCCACCTTTTTCATTTGCCAGAGAGCTCCATGTCACGATCCGCTCTGAACAGCTGGAAGCCTCCGAGCTGCAGCGCCAAGTCCGGAATCGATCCACACAGCCAGGTCTCAGTGAAGCACAAAACACAAGATGAAGAAAAGTCTCTGTTTCTAACCAGTAGCTGAAGCTCGTCCAGTTTATTGCTTATGGAACGCACGTTGGAGAGGAATATTCCGGGTAGCGGCGTGCAAAGTCCGCGGCTCTGGAGGCGCATGAGTGTCCCGGCCCGTCTCCCTCTCCTGTGGCGTTTCAGTGCTTGAATACCCGTGAGGGTATCAATGACAAGAATGTCCAATAATTCCACGGAAAAGCAGAGAAAAGTGGGAAGATATTCCGCTGAAGTTGTTTCTCTAATGTTTAGGAGCTCTTCCCTGGTGAAAGTTCGGTGTACTGTATGTAAACACTGAATTAACGCACAAAACAAGACAAAACAAAGCGCACCAAAACACTGAAGCAGCAATCTGCGGGCCATCTTAGTTTGTTTAGGCATGAAATTAGTTACAGACGTTTATGCTCCTAAGAGGATAATTAAAAATGACTTTTTGATCCCCCGACTTCATTGCGCATCCACCAATTGAACAAGGTTTCAACTTATTGCTACACATTTGTTCATTACAGGATTCCTATAAAACTCCTGTCAAAGTGCCAATCTGCCTCAGTTATACTTTAATATCACTGTTGATGATAACATGCAAACCATTAATCCATCCATCAATGTTTGTTATGAGTTAACATCCTGCAACAAGTTAAGAGTGTATTTATTTCCGTTTCTTTGCAAATACAGTAAGTACCATACCAGGACCCCCCCCCTCCTCTGTCAATTAAAAGCTTGATTATTAATAAATAAGAACATTGAAACTCCCCCTCTATTGTGAAACACTTTTGGCAGAATTTGTTAAATATTTTATACAAATAAATGTTTTAAAAGGCCAGACATCCAATTGGTTCTCAATCTAGATCAATAAAAAGATAATTTACAAACTATTAAATCCCTCATTGTGGCAGCCTTGCTGTGATTGATCTACTCGGATTGAAGCCACTGCTGTTTTTCTATGTGGCTGTATCTCTAGCGCACGTTAAATGTCTTTAATATAGATCTATATAGTCTAAGGAGCCATCAGCAGGGTTCTGGCCCACATATCTGCTTGTAAAGTGGGTTAACTATGCTCCTGGAGAGCTTAACAAGCTGTTGGAGGAATAAGGCAGCACACTTGATAATTAGCATGAAGAGGAAGACATGTTTGAGGGAGAGGGGGGTTTCAGGAAGAGGTGGAGTACAATTGAGAAAATGTGTGGGTGTGAAGCGGTCGTATACTAGCAAGATTCAACCAGACCATTTCAGTTTTGCTCTCTCCACTTACCCCTTGCTTATACTATTTCAAAGCATTTATTTGATTGTCATTAATATACTACTTTATACTTCCATGTTAGTTTTTGTTCCTTGCATAAAAATCTCCCTCCATTAGATTGTATGTCCTTTTCCGTCACGGTTCAGTTCTTGGGCTCATCTATCCAGAATTGTAAAACTCACATTCTCAACATTTCCCTGTTGCCCTTCACTGTAGCTATACTGTGAGGTGAATGTAAGGAATAGTTTCACGTTTGCTTTGAAACAGCAAGGCCATGAAATGAACATGAAAGACTTCGAAAAAGAAAATCGATTCTTGTTGGAATTGTAGAAAGGATTTAAGCATCAGTCAGTGTTGAGCGGGTCCTGGCACATTCATGTGCATTTAGTTGATGGTGGTGAGCCATATACAGTTACACAGGAGCCCTCAGCTGAGAGCAATAGGCGCATTCACACCGGAGTACTTTTCCCTGTACTGTTCCGGCTTAGCGCCAATAGTTCCTGGGATTTTGCGTTCACACCAAAAAGAGAACTTAGTTCATGAGAACTTGTACCCCCTTTTTAGTGCCTGCTAGAGAGGTGGTACTATCCTGGGGAGAAAAAAGTTCCAATTTCTGATTGGCTGGGCGAATTGCAAACCACGCCCCGTAAAACTTGGGAAAGTGTTTTGAAGCCGCCATTGTATTTGCTGGCATTAGCATTATTAGCATTAGCATTAGCCCCGCGCACCAACGGAGAGAGAATAACCTATGGCAACACAAAAAAGAACATTGGAGCGGTGGAGTGATGAGGAGGTGTCGGCATTCTGGCGATTTACTCGGAAGGCTTCAGTAGAAGCTGCTGGACTTCCGGCCGGGGACATCGGGTATACGCCGTGAAGCAGTCCTGCATGGGTCTGATTTTCAAGACCAG